CCACCACCACGGAGAAGGACGGGGCCGGCTGGGAACGCGCCTCGCTCCGCTGGAAGGCAAGGAACGGGGTCAAGCGCTTAGCCGGAACAAAATTATTCCAGAAAATGGGGGGAAAAACCACGGGAAGGGGTTCATTTTCCCAGGTTTTCAGCATTTTCCCAAGTTTTCAGGATCTTCCAAGGGTTTTCACCTGATTTGGTGATTTCCTTTCTTACAGAGCTATAAATTATGGGGGAAAGAATTCCCATATCCCATGGTCGTTCCTGAAGGCAGATCGCATGGGACACAGGGGTTGGGCAGCCCACGGGAGCAGCCTGGGAGGGGAGAGGGTCCTGTTTTGTTGTAGGGTTGAGCCCTCCTTGCTGGAACCCCAAAATCAGAGCTGAGATTCCCCAAAAACCTTTCCGGGATTCGGTCTCAGTCCAAGGGATCCTGTCCCCAGTGTCCCCAAGGTTCATCAAGCCAAAACCCTTCCCTGTGTCCCATCTCACCTTGTCCCAGGTGTCCCCAAGGGTCACCAAACACAAACCCCTCCCAGTTCCCCATTTTGGAACTAGGTGACATCATCCCAGCTGTCCCAAAAGGTCACCCAGCCAAAACCCTTCCCTGGTCCCTGTCTCAGATTAGGTGACATCATCCCAAGGGCCACCCAGTCACAAACTCTCCCAGTGTCCCATCTCGCTTGTCCCAGCTGTCCCCAAGGGTCACCCAGCCAAAGCCCTTCCTTGTGTCCAATCTCGCTCAAGGGACCTTGTCCCAGGTGTCCCCAACGGTCACCAGACCCAACAATCCCTTCCCTGGTCCCTATCTCAGATTAGGTGACATCATCTCAGGTGTCCCCAAGCCAAAGCCCTTCCCTGTGTCCCATCTCACCTTGTCCCAGGTGTCCCCAAGGTCACCAGACCCAAACCCTTCCCTGGTCCCTATCTTAGATCAGGTGACATCATGTCAGGTGTCCCCAAGCCAAAACCCTTCCCAGTGTCCTTGTCCTTCCCTTGTCCCTTGTCCTTGTCCCCAACAGTCACCCAACCCAAACCCTTCCCTG